GGGAGTGTGGATATATCTTGGATATACTGATTTCTTTTCTTTGGATATATATAGTGGGATTGCTGGATTATATGGTAATATGGATATATACACTGGGGTTGCTGGATCATATGGTAATTTTGGTTTTAGTTTTATGGGGAACCTCCGAACTGTTCTCCATAGTGGTTGTACTGATTTACATTTCCACCAGCAGATATGTATGAGAGTTCCCTGTTATCCACATTCTTGCCAGCATTTGTTGTTGCCTGTCTTTTGGATAAAAGCCATTTTAACTAGGGTGAGATGATATCTCATTGTAGTTTTGATTTGCATTTCTCTGGTGATAATTATGATGAGCAGTGATATGGTTTGGATCTGTGTCCCCACCAAATCTCGTGTTGAATTGTAGCTCCCAATGTTAGAGGTGGGCTCTGGTGGAGGGTGGCTGGATTTCTCATGAATGGTTTCATACTGTCCTCTTGGTGCTGTTCTTGTGATAGTGAGTGAGTTCTCATGAGATTTGGTTGTTTAAAAGTGTACAGCACTTCCCTCCTCACTCTCTCTTGCTCCTGCTCCCGCCATCTAAGATGCCTCACTTCCCCTTTGCTTTCTGCCATGATTGGCAGTTTCTTGAGGCCTCCCCAGAATGCTTTCTATACCGCCTACAAAACTGTAAGCCAATTAAAACTCTTTTCTTTATAAATTACCCAGTCTCAGGTATTTCTTTATAGCAGTGTGAGAACGGATTAATACAAGTCTCAGGTATTTCTTTTCTTTTGTTTGAGATGGAGTCTCACTCTGTCCCCCAGGCTGGAGTGCAGTGGTGCGATCTCGGCTCACTGCAACCTCCACCTCCCAGGTCCAAGCAATTCTCCTGCCTCAACCTCCCAAGTAGCTGGGACTATAGGCGCCCACCACCACGCTTGGCTAATTTTTTTGTATTTTTAGTCGAGACAAGGTTCACCATGTTGGCCAGGCTGGTCTCGAACTCCTGACCTCAGGCGATCTGCCCGCTTTGGCCTCCCACAGTGCTGGGATTACAGGCATGAGCCACCGCGTCATCAGGTATTTTTTATAGCTGTGTGAGAATGGATTAATACAAGCACCTTCTCATATACCTGTTTGCCATTAGTATGTCTTCTTTTGAGAAATGTCTGTTCAGATCTTTTACTCATTTTTAAATTGGATTATTAGATTTTTTCCTATTAAGTTGTTTGAGCTTCTTATATATTTTTGTCAATAATTCTCTGTCAGATAACTTGCAGATATTTTCTCCCATTCTGTAGATTGCCTCTTCCCTTTGTTGATTGTTTCCTTTGCTGTGCAGAAGCTTTTTAACTTGATGTGATCCCATTTGTCCGTTTTTGCTTTGGTTGCCTATGCTTGTTGGGTATTACTCGAGAAATCTTTGCCCAGCGCAATGTCCTGGAGAGCTTTCTCAATGTTTTCTTTTAGTAGTTTCATGTTTGAGGTCATAGATTTAAGTCTATGATCCATTTTGATTTGATTTTTGTGTATGTCAAAAATACGGGTCTAGTTTCATTCTTCTGCATATGGATGTCCAGTTTTCTTGGCATCATTTATTGAAGGGACTGTTATTTCCCCAATGTATGAATATTCTTGGCACCTTTGTTGCAAGTGAGTTCACTGTAGATGTATGAAGTTGTTTTTGGGCTCTTTATTATGTTCCATTGGTCTACGTAACTTATTATGGTAGTATCTTGCTGTTTTGGTTACTATAGCTCTATAATATGATTTGAGGTCAGATAATGTGATTCCTCCAATTTTGTTCTTTTTGCTTAGGGTAGCTGTGGCTACTCTAGATCTTTTGTGGTTCTGTTTAAATTAAAAAAATTTTTTTTTTCTATTTCTGTGAAGAATGTCATTGGTATTTTGATGGGAATTGCATTGAATCTGTAGATTGCTTTGAGTAGTATGAACATTTTGACAATATTGCTTCTTCCAGTCCATGAACACAGAATATCTTTTCAATTTTTGGTGTCCTCTTCAATTTCTTTTATCAGTGTTTTATAGTTTTCATTATAGAGATCCTTTACTTCTTAGTTAATTCCTAGGTATTTCATTGTATTGTAGCTATTGTAAATGGGATTACCTTTTTTTGAGATAAGGCCTTGCTCTGTCATGCAGAGCTGGAGTGCAGTGATGTGATCTTGGCTAACAGCAGCCTAGACCTCCTGGGCTCAAGAGATTCTCCTACTTCAGCTTCCCAGGTGGCTGGGATTACAGGTGCACACCACCAGGTCCAGCTAATTAAAAAAATATTTTTAGTAGAGATGGGGTTTCGACATGTTGCCCAGGCTGGATTTTTAAAAATTTCTTTTCCAAATTGTTTGCTGTTGGCAGATAGAAATGCTACTGATTTTTGTATGTTGATTTTGTATTCTGCAATTTTACTGAATTTGTTTATCAGTTCTAATAGTTTTTTTTGTGGAGCCTTTAGGTTTTTCCAAAATAGAGGATCATATCATCTACAGACAAGGATAATTTGACTTCTTCCTTTCCAATTTGGATGCCCTTTTTTTCCCTTCTCTTGTCTAATTGCTCTAGCTAGGACTTCTGGTACTATATCAAATAACAGTGGTGAAAGTGGGCATCTTTGTCATATTCCAGATCTTAGAGGAGGAATTTCAGTTATTCCCCATTCAATACGATACTAGCTGTGGGTCTGTCATTCATGGCTATTACTATGTTGAGCTATGTTCCTGCTATACCTAGTTTTTTGACGGCTTTTATTATGAAGGGATGTTGAATTCCATCAAATGCATTTTCAGCATCAATTGAGATGATCATATGGTTTTTCTTCTTCATTCTGTTGATATGATGTATCACACGGATTGATTTGAGGTGCAGCTCAGTTGCAATAGACTAGAGCACCAGGTAGATTGCTAAGGCCTTGGCTCCTGGACAGCATCTCTCTTCCTGCCTGGGGCCTGGAGGAACTCACCACAGCAAAGGGAAGAACAAACACCTCCCTCCTCCCTAAACTCCTGGAAACTACTATCTTTGTACTGTCTCCACAGTTCCATTTCTCCAGACTGTCATATAGTTGGAATCATATAGTATGTGACCTTTTCAGATGGGCTTCTTTCACTTAGCTACACACATTTCAGGTTCTTCCATGTCTTTCTGTAGCCTGATTTCTTTTTATTGTCGAATCATATTTCTTTTCTTTTTTCTTTTTTTTTGAGACAAAATCTCACTGTGTCTCCCAGACTGGAGTGCAGTGGCTCCATCTCAGCTCACTGTAACCTCTGACTCATGGGTTCAGGCAATTCTCCCACCTCAGTCTCCCAAGTAGCTGGAAGTGCAGGCGCATGCCACCATGCCTGGCTAATTTTTGTATTTTTGGTAGAGATGGGGTTTCACCATGTTGGCCAGGCTGGTCTCGAATTCCTGACCTCAAGTGATCTGCCCGCCTCTGCCTCCCATAGTGCTATAATTACAGGTGTGAGCCATCACGCCCTGCCGTATTTCATTGTATGAACATATCACAGTTCATTTATCCATTCACTTGTTGAAGAACAGCTTGGTTGCTTACAAGATTTGAATTACGAGTAAAGCTGCTATAAACATCTGTGCAGAAGTTTTTGTGTGGCTATTTGTTTTCAACTCATTTAGGTTAATACCGAAGAGCATGATTGCTGTAGCACATGGTAAGAATATGTTTAGCTTTGCAAGAAACCGCCAATTTGTCTTCCAAAGTAGCTATGCCATTTTGCATTCCCACCATCAATGAATGACAGTTCTGTTGAGCCACCTCCTTGTTAGCATTTGGTGTTGTCAGCTTTGGATTTTAGCCACTCTAATAGGTGGGTAGTGGTACATCATTATTGTTTCAATTTGAAATGGCTACTGACATATGATATGGAGCATCTTTTCTTATGCTTATTTGCCATGTGTATATTTTCTTTGGTGAGGTGTCTGCTCAGATCGCTTGCCCATTCTTTAATTGGGTTCTTTTCTATTGTTGAGTTTTAACAGTTCTTTCTGTATTTTGAATGTAAGTCCTTTATCAGGTATGTCCTCTGCAAATATGTTCTCCCAGTCTGTAGCTTGTATTGTCATTCTCTTGACAAATCTTTTGCAGAGCAGAAGTTTTTAATTTTAACGACACAGAACTTATCAAGTGCTTCTTTCAAGCATTGTTCTTTTGGTGTTGTATCTAAGAAGTCATCACCAAACTTAAGGTCATCTAGATTTTCTCCTACATTATCTTCTATGAGTTTTATAGATACTCATTTTTCATTTAGGTCTACAATAAACTTGGAGTTAATTTTCATGAAGGCTGTAAGGGAGTTTCTAAGGGGGACATACACTAACTTCTTTGAGAGTGGGCAGTGATTGTGAAACTCTTAGCTGAGTCTTACAATGACTCCAGATCCATCCGGAGAGCCCAACCTTCAGAAACCCATAGTGGAATGTGTTTCATGGATACACAGAAGAGAATATGTAGTCATATGCTCACATGCACACCTGCACGTGATCACACACATGCATATGGTATGTCCTGATCCAGAGTTCTCTCATCACTCTCTGTAAGTGGTTCTCTCCTTCAACTTCTTCATTAGGGGATATATTGACAGAATGTCATTAAAATTAAAAACTTCTGCTCTGCGAAAGAATTGTTAATGGACTGACTTTGTATGTCGATTCATGTCTCGTTGTGTCCCCGGACTGACTCTGAATGGGCCACAGTGGCCTTACCTGGTAGTGAGCACAGATTACACCCTGGTATTCAAAGCATGTTGAGTAGGTGAGAGTGTGGGCATGTGGGCGGTGAAGGCAGGACAGCCACTCACCAGGTCTCTGGAAAAACCCCCAGGACAGGGATGTTCAGGCCATGTGATGCTATACGAAGCTGTTTTACGTGAGGAAGGGGTGCTTTTTAAGAATCTTTCTAGAGGGCTATGGGCACAGATCTGTGTTCAAAGATTTTCTGGGCACTTACGTTTTGTGAGACATCAGACAGACAACTTTCTAAGCCTCAGCTTTGTCACGTGTAAAATGGGCATGAACGTTTTTCTCTTTTGCAGAGGTTTGTGGCAATTAAGTGAGGTGAGCGTGCAACGCTTTGTGAACAAACGCTTTTTGTACAAAGCTGACATGGGGGTACTTGTTCAGGAAATAAGAGCTGCTATTATTACTACTCTTCATAGCATAATGTAAGGTTTCCCTTCCTCTCATCCCAGCTCGGAAGCACCTTATCAAGGTCAACTAAGCCCCTTCTGTTTCTTCTCTTCCCTCTAACCACCTCGCCGCTTCCTTTCCCCCATCCCGTCCCCATTCTTAGCCCCGCCCCTCCCACGAGCCCTGCCCCTAGCCCCGCCCTTTCCACGGCCCCGCCCACCAGACCTGCACCAACGAAGCCCTCACTCAGCGGGGCAGGAAGCTCATGGTGTAGTTTCGTGGGATCGTGGCAAAGCCCACGTGTTTGGGGGACACGTCGATGTCCTTGGGCGACTGGGGGGACTTGAAGCGGAAGTTCTGCATGATGGTGGTGAAGAAGAGAAAGAGCTCCATTCTGGCTAGGCCTTCTCCGAAACAGTTCCGCTTTCCTGAGGAGGAGAGGCGGGAGGGGTGGAGGTGAAGCCCACTCTCAGTGCAGCCTCGCCCCACTACCGACCTCCAGCTGCGGCTCTCCCAGGGAGGAGGGATGGAATATTATGGCCTGAGAGACTTTCAGAGGAGGCTGTGATCCTCCCTGAGCCTCAGTTTATTTCTATAAGAGATATAACAATGGTGAACCAATATTGATATATTATTATTAACCAAAGTCCATAGTTTACATTAGGGTTTATCTGTGTTGTACATTTCTATGGGTTTTGAAAAAGGCATAGTGTCACGCATCCATCATAGATGGGGTGATCCATGCCAGGTGTAGCAATGGGAGGTTTAGGTGTCCCTTCCTGCAGGATACACTTGCAAATATGACTGCTGTGCTGTGCCGTCATCTCCTTTTCAGGGATCTGAAGCATCTGCTGTGTGACCCTAGACAAATAAATCTACGGGGAAAGATGTTTCCTTTCCTTTTATCTGGGCGTAGGTAGTGGGTGCTTGGTAGTTAAGGAAGTATCAGCTGGTGGCTCAAGGGTAGATTCTAACAGGAACTTCCAAGCTGGAGAAATACCAGGCTACACCGCACAGAGGGGAGCTGGGTGAGGGAGGCGCCTGCTGGTGTGAGCAGTGGCCTGGCGGCAAACAGTAGTTAGTCTCTTACCGATGGAAAAGGGCACAAAAGCGTCACTCTTCTTAAACTGCCCCTTCTCATCCAGGAAGTGCTGGGGATTGAAGTCCTGGGGGTTGGAGAAGAACTTGGGGTCTTTCAGCACGGAGCCCAGCATAGGGAACACTTCGGTGCCCTGGGAGGGAGGAGGAAGGTGTGTGTGAGGAGGCAGGTTGGGGGACTGGTGAAAGTACACAGGGGCTAGAGGGGGAACTAGGGTGCCCCAGGTAAGGGGAAGTGGCAGGCATGGAGGAGTTGGGGTCCTCTGAGGGAGGAGATTTGGGGGATAGAAGGTTCATGTCTCTGAAACAGGAAGTTTGGGAGACATGGGGTCTATGTCCTGCTAGGCCGGGTGTTTGGGGGACCTGAGACTTGTGTCCCTAAGGCAAAAGGTCTAATGGAAAGGGGGCTCCTGTTTCTTAAGACAGGAAGTTTGGGAACATGGGGTTGATTCTCCTGATACAAAGAATCTGGGGAGATGCAGAACTCAGGAGTCTCTAAGTGGGAAGGTGGAACGGATGTGGTGGTGGGGGAAGTCCTTTTTGACTGATTGAGGGAGTGGGACAGGGTCTAGGAAGCTTCTAATGGGGGTGGGATGTTGGGGACACAGAGAGAGGCTGGAAGTCCCCATAGTCTGGGAGGATGGGGAAGGTAGCACCTTAGGGAGGAAGAAATCCCGAAACTTGGTGTCCTTGTTGACCCTGCGGGCCAAACTCATGGGGATCACGTTTCCAAATCTTTGGATCTCATGGATCACTGCCTCCATGTAGGGCATCTTGACCCGGTCCTCAAACTTGGGCTGCTGGTTCTTGCCGATCACTCTGTCAATCTCCTCATGGACCTTGGCTGGGGGAGGATGGGGAAAGCGTTTGGGTGTCTAGAGGTCTCAGGGCAGGGATGATAGTCCGAATAGGTAAAACGGGGTGGATGACAGGGCTCTACATATGATACAGAGGTAGACCATTCATAACAGACCTCAGCCATTCTCATTGTTGGAGTAGAATCCTGTTAACCAGACTGTGCCAGAATCACAGGGGAGGCACAGAGAGGAACTTAGGGGATGATCCGGAGGAGCAGGTAGCAGGGCACTCAGTGGGCTTGGGACAGGAGTGACTGACCAATCACTGCAGACATTTTCAACATTTTACCAACTAGTGAGACTCAGCTGATTCCTATCAGCTGAATATTGCCCTGTCTCTGGACAGCAAAGCACGTCTCAGGGTCCTGGGATCTGAGACAGGTGGGGACATTGCACCAGGGTCAGTGGAGTTTTGAGGGTCTGGGGCTCTCCACTTCCCTCCCCCTCCAGCCTTACCCTCCACCTCTGGGTGCTTCATGAGCAGCAGGAAGCCATAGCGCAGGGTGGTGCTGACGGTCTCGGTGCCTGCAATGAAGAGGTTCAGCGCGGTCATCAACAGGTTCTGCATGTAGAACTCTGTGTTGGGGTTCTTCTCCTCCTGCAGGGAGAGGGAGCTTTAGGCCAACCTCACTCCTCTTGCCTTCAGGGCCCTTCTAGGGCTTTTCCTTTGGATCTACCTCTCTTTGGTCCAGGTGAAAGGTGGAAAGAGGGACCCTAGATCTACCAGACTCGCTCCAGGTTCCAGCCCTTGCCCTGGCTGCTGGCTTTGCCCAAAATGCTCTTCCTTCTCACCTTCTTTACCTTGCTGACCATCTTTCCTTTAATTATCAACTTAGCTGTCAATTTTTTTTTTCTTATACTGACTTGGTGTTGCTAAGTTGCACAGGCCGGACTCGAACTCCTGGGCTCAAGGAATCCTCCAGCCTCAGCCTCCTGAGCCTCACTGAAGAGCTGGAACTACACATGCACATGACCATGCAGGCTCACTTGTTACTTTTTAAAAAATAATTAATTTTTTTTTTTTTTGAGACAGGGTCTCATTCTGTCACCCAGGCTGGAGTGCAGTGCTGTGATCTTGGCTCACTGCAACCTCTGCCCCACTGGACGCTACCATACGCAGCTAATTTTTGGATTTTTAGTAGAGAGGAGGTTTCACCATGTTGGCCAGGCTGGTCTTGAATTCCTGACCTCAGCTGATCCACCTGCCTCGGCCTCCCAAATTGTTGGGATTACAGGTGTGAGCTACTGCGCCTGGCCAATTGTGAGGATTATTATGATGAGGGCTAATTTGAATGGGCCTTTGTTGTCTGCCCGCCCCACTCCCAGCCTGATTTCCCTCTGCCTCGCTTTGCACCTCCCCGCACTGGCTGCTGGGGTGTACCTCCTGCATGCGGATGAGAAAGGAGTCGATGAAGTCCCGTGGGGAGTTGGGATCCAGCGTGCGCTGGTTGTGCTCCACCTTCTTGGCTATGAAGTCCTCCAGCCCTTGCAGCTCCTTAAAGGCCTGTTGCTGTGGCCCTGGCAGGTGTCTCATCACCGAAGAGAACATCTCATAGAGCTGGGGTTGCAGAGAGAGGATGGGAAGGGAAGGACCGTTGTCAGGGGGCAGGAGCTGATGGGAATGGGACTTGTTTCATAGCAAGGAAGGAACTGAGTTAAAGGCATCTGTCCAGGTGTTTAGGTATTTCAGTGGGGTTGGATGGGAAGCTATGTGCTCAGTTTCCACGTGGGTTAGGTGCCAGGGCACGGTCTAGTAATTTAGGTGAGAAGAACTGAGGCATATATATCAGGTTTCAAGGTATGCAAATGAGCAGGCTGGATTGGAGCACACATCTGGGTGTTCAGATATTCAAGTGAAGTTGAGTTGGAAGTCACCTGCCCAGGTGTTTAGCTACTCAGGTGGGGCTGGTGTGGGGGGGTGTCACCTGTCCGGGTATTTAGGCATTCAGGTGGGCTTGGCTGGAGACAATTACCCAGGTACTTATTTAGGTCTGGATTGGGGGCTTTTGTTCCAGGTGTTCAGGTATTAAAAGTGGGGCTAGCTGAAGATGTTGAAGTGGAGAGATACCTGTTCAGGTCTTTACCTAGCCAAGTGGGATCATTGGGAAGCTCCTCTGCCAAGGTGTATTAGAGGAAAGTGTTGGGAACACTTATTTGGGTGTTTGGGAATAATCTGTCTAGATATTTATGTGTTTAGGGTGTTGGTTGGAGCAGCTGTCATGTTTTCAAGGTATTTCAGTGGGTGAAGTAGAGTGCTTGTAGATATTCCCAGTGGGATAATTTGGGACATTTTGTGTAGATGTGAAATGGTGTTCTATGATGGGCTAGTTTTTACCAGCACCAGGTGTTCAGGTATGCAGGAGGCGGGTTGGGAGCCCAATCACTTGTCCAGGTGTTAAATATTCAGAAGAACAGGAGTAGGGAGGCACCCCTATTTACAAATTACAATCAAGTTGGGGATGGGAACCGTTGCCCAGGTGAGGAAGCTGAGCTGAGGCTGCATCCTGCCCGGCAGCTCTGTTCTCAGAGGCATCTGTTGAGCTATCAATTGCTCCTGGAGACTGAGTAGGCACCCATCTTGAGTTCTCTGTTGCAACTGCCCAGTTGTCCAATATTGGGAGCTGATTTTTGAGGGGACACTGTCTGGAGGTAGAGTTTGGGGCACCTGTCTCAGGTAGAGGCAGTTGACAGGTGTAGTAGGGTCACAGGCCGGAGCTGCAGCCCGGTTACCTGCCATGGAGGTCAGCGTGAACCTGGAAGCTTCCCGACATCATGCGCAGCAGTGACAGGAACTCTTTGTCCTCATAATTAGCGGTCCCCCAAAGACAATGGGCTGATGACATTAGAGGCAGTGCGGCTCAGGAAAGAGGTGGGATCGATATTGGCGCCTGCCAGGCGTGCTTGGCCCGGAGAAGAGGGTTGGGGAGAGGAAGTCAACTCAGAGGGCCTGGGGAGGCATGCAGGAATTCCGGGAGGCGGGGCCCTGTTAGACCAAATTCCCAGCGCAGACTCCCAGGGCTGGAAGTGCGAGGGCCTTTCCCCCACCGAGTCCCCATCCTCCAGGCAGAACGCGCGCGCGCGCGGTTACAGCCCTGGGCGGTTTCCTGCTCACTGCCCCGCACTCCGGGGTCACCATACCATGCGCATTGCCCGGAGGCCTCGATAGGAAGCCCGCCTCCTCCTGGATGCGCTCCTCGATACCGCGCTTGCCCACCCCGAGTCCCGCAAGGTAGCGATGGAGAAGCGCCAGGCTGCTTGGCGCGCTCCCCGTTGCTGAACGCCACGCCTAAGGTGAACGTGGGGGTGGAAGAGTCGGGGGCAGCGGGGGCAGGAGCTTGAACCAATCCCAGCGTGCTCCCAAGGAGGTGGAGCAGAGAGTGGGGTGGGGGAGAGAGAGATGAATTCAGCGAGAGTGCCCAGAGAGCTGCAAACTCAGAGAAACGAGAGAGTGAGGGGAGAGAGGAGAGAGGGGAGAAATAGAGAGAGAGAGAGGGCCGGGTAGGAAGAAAAGAGGCAGAAGAAGAGAAGCAGAAAGAGTCAGAGACAGACGAATGCCCAGAGGAAACAGAGGAATAGGGGGACACTCCCGTGGAAGGGAAAGGAAGGGAAGAAAGAGAAGAGAGATGGAGAAGAGAGGATGGAGGAGGAAAGTAGAGATATAGGGAATCACAGGAGGAGAAATAAAAATGGTGAAAGATTCTTAAGCTGAGCTAAAGAAGAGAAAATACGGGAGACAGAAACGAAAGAGGGTCTGGAAGGAAGGAAACTGTTACCGGGAGATAGGCTGGAGAGTGTAGATCGAATACCATGAAATCCTAAGACAGAGGGAGAAGTGGAGAGGGAAGCGGAGAGAGGAGAAACACTAAGAAGCACACAGAAGCAGAAGTGACAAAAAGACAAATGAAGACAGAGGACCAGGGTTTAGAAAACAGAAACCCGGAGATGTCCCTCCAGAAGATAAGAGGAGAAGGGGAAAGGAGACTCCAGTGAGAGGAGGAGAGAGAATAAGAGGGCAGAGAGGCAGGGAGGAATCAGGACAGGGACGCTGCAGAACAGGTAGGGACACACAGGGAGAGGCCTGGCCAGGGAGATGGGGAGAGAGGCCAGACCCGGGAGCTCTGCCATAGCCTCCCAGTGGGCAGGAGAATCAGGGGAGGAGCTGGGGACACTGAGACTGTTAGGTTTCTCTTGGCATGCTTCCCCGTCTTAGACACCCCCCTCACCACAGCAGCACGGAGCCCAGTTGAGGTGGCCTGCTGCGCCTCGCCCGCCTTCCAGACTCCCTCAGCCTGGTCACCCAGAGCCTCCTTGACAAACCTCCATATCCCGCACAGCACCCACGACCCGCCGGGCCCAGGTGAATGGTGAACACCAGACCATAGCGCTCACTGATCTGATGGAGGCGGGTGGGAGTGATTGGAGGCAGCCCCCACTCTGAATGGGCCCAGCACGGAGATGTCCAATTACAGGATCCTTCTCCCCCAGGTTCTCACAGTCAGGGAGCTGGACATCCCAAGATCCTGTCTTTCCTGGCTAGGACCCTGACGCTTAACCTCCAAAACTCCCTTTCCTAAGCCTCTGGTCCACACTGGTCAATCCCCTATCTGGCCCAGCCAGCTGGGCAGACCGCGAAGGTGGCCTGCTCGCCTCGCCCGCTGAACTCCTCAGCCTGGTCCACCAGAGCCTCCTTGACAGCATCATATCCGCACAGCACCACGACCCGCCGGGGCCCCAGGTGAATGGTGAACACCGGGCCATAGCGCTCACTGATCTGATGGAGGCGGGTGGGAGTGGTTAGAGGGAGCAGCCCCCACTCTGAATGGGCCCAGCACGGAGATGTCAATTACTGGGATCCTTCATCCCCAGGTTCTCACAGTCAGGGAGCTGGACATCCCAAGATCCTGTCTTTCCTGGCTAGGACCCTGACGCTTAACCTCCAAAACTCCCTTTCCTAAGCCTCTGGTCCACACTGGTCAATCCCCTATCACAAAGCCCCAGCCAGCTGGGCAGCCGCCACCCCGTGCCACCCATCTCCCTGCCTTGGGACACCTTCATGATGGAGTTGTACATCTGCTCTGTGTTCAGCTGCAGGTAGTTTCCAATGAAGGGCAATGGGGTGGGTCCTGGAGGCAGCTTTCCCTTGCTGTTCCTCTGCTGCCAGACAGACATCAAGACCATCACAGTCAGGCAGGCCAGCAAGGCCACCAGGAGCAGCCCTGAGGCTAGCATGGTGGCAGTGGGATGATAGATGGTGATGGCTGGGGTGGTTTGCCTTTATACTGCCTGAAAAAGAGGGGTGGACTTTGGCTGATTACATAATCACCTCATTTCACCTCCCCGCTACACCCCCCACCATGAATCCCGCCTAGCTTGGGACACAGTCAGCAAGGGAGGAGGAGGGGGACCCCAGGGCAGCTGAACAGAGAGGGGGCCTCCAGACTAAGTCTGTGGTACTTCAGGAGGGGTGCCCCAGGGCTGTGGATTTAGGAGGGGGCAACAGATAAACTGTAGAACTGAGGAGTTTGGAATATTTGCACAGGGGAGCACCTGGGCTTTGAATTTTTGGTCTGAGAATGAGAATGTACCCCAAAGTTGTGAATTTGGGGGTTCCAGGGGAGAGGAATCCAAAGGTCTAGGTTTTATTAATGTGAGACAGAAGTGTGGCTGTGTCTTTGAGGGTCTTCTGGTGAGGAGGATGCAGGGTTAAGGGTCTCAGGAGGGGGGATTCCAGCCATATGGACTTGAGAGTCTTGGGGCTAGGAAGACCCAGGGTGTGGGTGTGGAGTTTCTGGGAGGAGGAGTGTGTAGCAAGCCCAGCAGCTCCTCCCAGAAAGCCCGCAGCTCAGCACTGGGCCCAGGGACTGACTCGATTTTGCTTTGGCCCAGAGCTGTCTCTTGATGCCCAGAATCCTCACTGGAACCTCAGAGTGAGGCCAGGATGGGTGCCATAGAATCTCCACTGCACATCTCTGGTTGGGAAAGGGGTGGAAGACCAGAGTCGTATTTCAGGGGAACTTTCCCCACACCTGGAGGAGAGTACCTCGAGTTATCCATTAGCAGAGGGATTGGCCAGGTCTGGAGAAATAGTAATAACAACCCCCAAATGGTGGAAAAATCTCAAGTGTCCCAAGGGTTGGAATTTACAAAGACCTCCACTGGTTTCCAACCCAGATCCTTAGGGAAACCCACTAGTTCCACTTTGTGGGTTTGGTTTTCCCGCCAGTGGAAAGGGTGTATTTAGGAAGAGAAGATCATATTTGAGGGTGAGTTAAGTCTCCTTTAAGGGTGATTCCTGCTTTGTCAGGGGCTACTACTATTAGCAGGCAGAGGGAACAATAGCAGAAGAGATTGGGGTAAACTCTAGTGTTAGGCACAGAGACAGAGCCTGGGGTGGGTGGGAGTGGAGAAGCGATGAGTAGCCCTCTTCTCCTTCCCTCAGGGAAATTCTTCCTTAGTAAACAGGACAGTTACCCTTTGGTGAGCACGATCGTATATGGGAAGATCAAGTCTAGGTGTGTATGACCTGGTCGAATCTTTGTAACAATGAGGTTGGTTCATCATCATCCTCATTTTGAAGATGAGCAGATCTAGACTCCATAAATCCACTTGAGTGAGGTCACACAGGGAGTAAGTGAGGGAGCGGGGATATGAACTCTCTCCTCCTTCCCCTTCAGTGTCTGGCCTAGATCACCCTGGGAGTCAAGTGCGGGCCAGGCTTAGCAGGAGGTGAGTGCCGAGACTGACATCGGCAGTGGACACAGGGATGACACTGGTGGGCTCTGATATCAGCATCAGATATGGCCAGGGAGGGGAGGCATCGTGTTGGCTTTGGGACTGCCCCCAGGTGTACATGAGGATGGGAAACAAGTTGGCACTGAACTTGACAGCAGGAGAATATTAAAGTCACGTTTGGTGCCAAGAGGACTCTGTGTGTTATCTCAGGTGTCATTGAGGGCATAAGAGTGTCCTGCTTCAGGAGGGCATAAGAGTGTCCTGCTTCAGGAGGGCATAAGAGTGGCACCATCTATGGTCTGAGGTTGGTTCCAGTGGGCTCTGACATGAGCATTAGGCAGGTGCTGAGACTGGTCCTAGGTGGGTCTGAGATAAGCCTCAGCCAGATCCTGAGAGGGGCCCCAGATGGCCGCAGGACGGGCTCTGATGGTTGGTCCTTCCAGGGTTGCACGTGTCCTCTGGGTCACCAACTTTGGACAAGTGGAGGTAGGTGAGGTTGACACTCCCAGGACTGGCTCTAACTGGCTCAAATTAGCTGTTGAGCTTTGAGACTTATGTGGAGGGATCAAAGAGCAGAGAACAAAGCAGGGAGAGGGAAGTCATTTATTGATTTTGTGGGGGAAGAGGTGGGAAGAAGGATTAGCACCTGTGGGACAGACATCAATCCCTTTAATCCTGGTCACCAACCTACACTCAGGCTGGCCACAAGCCTGGGTCCTTCCTCTTCTCCCTCATTTCTTAAAAAGGAGAGAGGTAGAAATGTGGGGAGTTTGTTTCTCAATGAGGTTGGCACTAGGAAGGGCACTGAGTGTTCAGACAGGCTGCCATGACCTGGCCAGGGAGGGCGTGGGGACTCAGGTTGGGAGAATTCTAGTATTTGGGGACATAGAGGTCTGGCAATTTTGGCCCTGTTGATTACTCTGGAGCATGGAGTAAGAGAATGGTGTCTGAAATTACGTGGGAGGGACTTGTCCCATTGGCAGTGACTTGGGTACAGGCTTTCAGAGTGAGTTAGTGGCGAACCCAGGAAAATCCCTTTCCATTGTTGGGCCTGTGTTTCCCTTTCTGGATGGATGGTACAGTGGTTAAGAGCAAGGTTAAGGCATGGATTGGAATCCAAACCTTATCCCTTCTTTGTTGTGCGACCTTGAAAAGCTGACTTCATCTCTCTGAACCTTATGGAGCCAAAAACAGCTCCTAGCTCTTCAGCTGTTTAGGTGAGAAGCATATGGGTCAATGCAGGGGAGTTACATGTAAGTGTGCAATGAATATTGGCTGTTCTTATTAAGGATGAACAGAATGGATGAGATGTTCTCTAAGCCCCCTCCTGGCTTTTGCAATTCTCTGGTCTAATGTTCCCAAAGCTTTTCCTTTGAGAAGGGGGAAGGGAGACAGAGTTTTTTGGGAACCTCTCTCCCCATCCCTTCCTTAGCATAGCCAAGCCTTACCCCGTGAAGCTGTGAATAGGAAATTGACCTTAGGCTGCCTCCTAGAGCATGGCGCTGAGTTAAGTAATATTCGCAGGAAGAAAGGCCAGTGTTAGGCCCTCAGATTACTCTGGATGGGCCTGGAACCCTGGCCAGGACTTCACCCACCTGTCTCTCTCCCTTTGTCTCTGATCTTGTCTTTCTGTCTTTCTCTTTCTCCTTCCCTGCAAGTCACCTTTCTCCTCAAACACCCTGTGTGCTCCTGCAACTTTGCAAGTTTGAGTCATTTTATCCAGTGGTTTCTCCTAGATGCCTCTGCCATGTTTATCCTTATTTACATGTCTGTCTGTGTGTGTGTCACTCTGGGTGCATGCCTGAGGTTTCTGTGTGCATGTATGTTTCAGCATGTCCCTGTTGATAATGAATTTATGCACGCACCAGGCTTTGTGGGGTGTGTGTTTGTGCTGGATAAGTGGGCATCCATTCCAACTTATGTCTGCACATGCACATTTGTGTGAGTACCTGATGTATGTCCATGCCACTCTTCCTGAATGTTGCCAGTCTCTGTCTGTCTGTGCATGTAGTCCGAGTGCATGCTTTGGGTTTTATCCCTTGGGGGGTATCTATGATGTGCATTTCTTTGTCCAACCTGATATATGGCTGCATGTTCACATTTGTGTGGATGCATGCACAACTGGGTGACTACATATACGTGTGTGGATGTTTTTGTGCACACATTCTGGTGTCTGTATGCAGGCACGTGGGCCCTGTTGTGTACGCATGAACATCTGGTATTTATGTGTACCTGTCTGTGTTTGGATTCAAAAATAGCCTTAGCCCAGACCCATTTCTCTTCAAAACAAAACAAAGCAACAACAACAACCAAACACCGTGTGAAGCTTTTTATGAGTATGATCTTAATTACACTCTGCACTGCAAGCCTGTGACGTTGGTTTTATCATCTTCATTTTGCAAATGAGTTGGATAAGTCTTCCAAAATTGGAAGTTCCTTGCTTTGGATTCTACAGCAAATGAAGGTAGAGCCGGTGTATGGCCTTGTGTGACTGTCAAGTCCATGCTGTGAACTACCACTCTGGACTGCCAAGTTCCACCTGTTTTCTTTATGAAACATCAGAAAATTACCCCTAATCTCCTGTGGTTCTTGAAAAACTTCCCTGTAAGCCTGTAACAAAACATTTCAAAATGTTAGGGGGGAAGAAAAGTCTTTTGTTAGGAGGGAGACTTCAACTTCTATAGTTTTTGTGTTCTTTGGAAGATTAACCAAAGAGCTGGTCAGCTGGCATACCCCTCAGGCCATTGGCAGTGAGACAGTGCAGGGGTTGGGGAACTAGCCGTTGTGGGTGGAGAGTGAAATGTCTGTGTTTCATATTTCAGAGTGATGACAAGGGTGAAGGTGGGCCTGTGGAAGTGTTGGCTGAAATAGAGTGAAGAAGGTCAAAGAAAAGAAGAAAGTCAAGATTCTTTCTTTCTGAGTGTTTGGATAGCTCACATCCATGGCCAGAAAGTGCTTCCCTACCAGTAGAATGTCAGGGCTTAGAGTAGAGAGGCAGGAAAGAAGTTGGGTAGATGACAGAGATGAACAACTTTTTAAATAACAGGGTGAAGTGTCAGTATCCAAGTGTTCTGGAGAGTTTTTTCTGGTAATTGTTGAGTAGCTTCTACTGGATCAAGCATCCTGTGAATAACGGCTATTAACTCTGAGTAAAACATTTTTAAGAACCCAATTCTCTGAAATTACTGGAGAGTGAACAAAACCAGCAGATACTGAAGGAGGTTGGATGAAAGAGATTTCCTATTTTGGGTGTTTCTTTTTTTTTAATGCTTTCAGCCTAAAGGCAGACCTTGGAAAGTGCCTTGTGGGGTGGCTTAATCCCAGATAGAGATGTTTTAATTTTTTTTTTTTTTTTTTGCTTCTTTGTTTTCTTATTTTTATTTTTAGAGACACAGCCACACTCTGTCACCCAGGCTGAAGTACAGTGGTGCAACCTTGGTTCGGTGCAACCTTAGTTCATTGCAGCCTTGACCTCCTGGACTCAAATGATCCTCCCA